AAAAAAGCTTTTTAAATGAGGCAAAACGTACACGGAAAACGTATAAAAATGTTGCAATTCCAATTTTGAAAGCATATAATGAGAACTATTCTGACGCCCAAACATCAAAATTATGTCAGTTTCAATTTATGAACAATTATTGGCGGTCCAAAACTAAGGCTGCAAACGAGTCGAGTCGAGTCAAACATGAACCTTGTCGAGCGCATATCAAACTTTTTCTTCACTGTTCGAGCTCGACGAGCCATGTAAAATGTTGCACTACTCAACTCGTTAAAGAAAATAAGATTGCTCGAGATCGACTCGATGCTCGACATCAATCGAGCTCGACTTGAAATTTTAACAACTAAATTTTAAATATAATTTGACAATTTTGGCCTTGGTGTTCTATATCGATATTAGACTATATAGGGCATTTATATAAATAAAAAATCGAGCTGCTCGTCGAGCTACGGCCTTTTGAAATGATGCTCGAAGCTCGATTCGTTTGCTCGATTGAACTGCTCGAGCTTGACTCGTGCTCAAGTGAGCATTGACTCAAGCACTCGTGAACAACTCCTGAGCCACTCGATTTGTTTTCAGCCCTATCCAAATCTCACCTGAGATTGGGTTACAACCATTTAGTTCATCGAGCTAAGAACATCAGTACATAATGAAATCTAGAATTGATATCTTTAGTACATATTGTTTTTTCTTTTGGTTTGATAGATTTGAGTGGATAACGCGTGTCCATAGCATTGGTACAATTCATGTCTCATACATGTTGGAACACCGGATCAAATATTTGTGTTTGATGGGAAGTTTTGTCTATTGCAATTTGCAAATGGGATATGTACTCCTTTGGCAATTATTAATTTCTTATTATTAATTTGTTTCACTAACGATGAAGATTCAACAATATTATCATTTTTGCTATAATTTCTATTTACTTAACAACTGTGAGGACTTTATGTAATAATGCATATGCAAGTTGTCTAATTAGTGTCTTAGTGCACTTAGTTCCATTATAGTCAAATTAAAGGCTAATGTGTGACAATTAGTGCTACTAAATTAAACGAGTTGGTTCAGCTCGACTTGAGCTCGGCTTGTTAAGGCTCGAGTTTGGCTAAGTTTATTTGATAAACTAGTCGAGCTTGAGCTCATTTAAAGCTCGTTTGGTTATTGAGCCCAACTCAACTCCGCTTGCTAAGGTTCGTTAAGGCTCGGAAAGAAAATTTTTATATAATTTTCTATAGTTTGGCTCGTTAATGAGCCAAGCTCGTTAAGGCTCGAACTCGACTCATTATTAGTGATAGACGAGTCGAGTTCGGGCTCGATTTCAGGCTCATTTATTTAACGAGTCGAGTTCGAGCTCGATTTCGAGCTCGATTTCAGGCTCGTTTATTTAACGAGCCGAGCTCGCCTCGGCACGTTAAGGGCTCGAGATGAAGCATTATAAGCTTGAGCTCGGCTTGACTTGTTTATAAACCTAGTTACAGTCGAACAATTAGACTATCAATCTTTTTGTACATTTTTTAAAAAAATGTATAATTAATGTGTGATATATCATAGTTTTATTACGTTATAATATATATACATTATTTTTTAAAATACAACATATCATTATGAACCTACACACATTTGTTGAAAATATATATTAGTGACAATTAATTATGCAAACAATAGCTGTACCGGTCATATGGTCACACTACGAAAGAAAGGGTTAAATTTTACGAGTTGTGTTGCTACATTTTGTAAACTATTTGAGACCACAACAAAATTTGTGGCGAAATTATTTGCTAAACGATTCGTGCTCCATTTATCTAAAAAGCATAAATAGAAAACTAATTCTTGTAATATTTAGTATAAAAAACTAAAATATAAAAACATGATTAAATAGCAGTTCCTCCAAATTAAATATTTTTTTCTATTGACATGCATAATAAAAAAATTTCTCCACTCACAAATCCAATCATCCAAACAAAACTACCTATTGTCTAGAATATTGCTATCCTAAGAAGATATCCAATTATCAAATCCTGTTCAGCGTGTTTTGATTTTTGTCCTAACTCCTATGGATTTCATTGTGGACATATATATAATACAGCACATACATCATTGTCATGCTCCTTAGACCACATTTACTTTGTCCCATTCTAGGATAAATTAGACCATTTTCAACATATGGTAAAGATATTCACGTTTTAATAATTATACAAATCAATAGGAAAACCTTTATTTGGAAGGGATGCAAAATCTCTAGCCTCATAGGTGATACAAATTGTATGTGCTTTTCTATGTTATCCTCATCGTTGGACGGTTATATGTTTCTAACAATTTTGTATATGCATGTTTTTCATGCACTACTTTATATATCTTAAAAAAAATATAGAAAAATGTATGATGTTTAAAAAGATGAGATTTATTTTTTATTAAAGAAAAATATATGATGAGTTGACTCACTTAAATATTAGATTGTCTCAGGCATTAATTTGTATTTATGATATGCTAAAATCAGTAGAAACTCAATATCACAATATTTCCACAGTTTATATTCATTTTTCTTTTTGAATAATAAAAAGGCATTTTTTTTTTGGTACAAAGAAGGAGGTCATAGGCCTAAGCGTTAGACTACAATGC